AAAAAAATATGATTATACTATTGATAAATCTCAACATGGTCGTTTAATTATAACTGCACGTCGTCGACAAACTTTATCATCTGATCATCGTTCGTCAAGTAATAAAAATCGTATTGCTATACAAACATTTACAATTCCACATGATGCTGATGTTGATCATTTACAATCTTATATTGAACATGATACAAATCGTTTAATTATTGAAATTCCTCGTCAAAAACGTACACATTCACGTACACCACGTTCATCACAAATAAATACAAGTCATGCTAGTAGTCGTTTAATACATTCACCAGATATTGAACGTATGTTAACGTCACCAACAGGTGGTCCACAATTGATACGTGATGATAGAAAATCTCATAGAAAAAATTCTGGTAATAATCGAAAACTTGAATATCGTATTGATTGTCATGGTTATACAGCTGATGAACTTGAAGTATATATTCAAGGACGTGATTTAATTGTACAAGGTAAAACTCATAAATCAACATCACCAGATCCAACACAACAACGTGTATCAAAAAAATTTTCACGTAAGATAACATTACCACATACAGTTGATTTAACAAAAGTTGTTTCTTATTTGGAACATGGAGAATTACGTATTGAAGCACCACTTAAACGTGGAGTTTATTATAATGATGAAGAAATTATTATACCCGGACCACCACCATCATCAATAACATCCAATCGTCCAATTTCAACATTAATATCAAACATAGATGATCGTGTTCGATCACCATCACCATATAATCGTCATCATTATCGACAAAATGAACGTATGAGTCGTCGTCGAGATTATGAACGTTCAAATAATCGACAATTATCAAATCCAAAAAGACGTGTACGTTCAGTTGAAGCACTTCGTTATCCTCTTTATAGATCACCACGTGAAATTGACGAAGATGATGAAGATGAAGATGATACAAAAGAACAAGAAAATCGACATCGACAAACTCTTAATTATGAACGTCGTAGTAATGATCGAAAAGATATAGAACAAAAACAACAACAACAACCTATATATAGGTCAATGTATTCACCAACACCTAATCGTGTAACTAAGACAACAACTACAACACTAGGTCGTCATCATAATTATCCATCTAATGATGATAACGATTTAAGATTTTGATTGTTTATATATTGACAAGAAAATTACTCAAGCTGATACCATCTTTTTGAGCTAATATTTGGTTTACTTTCGTTCGAGCTTTAGATATTTACCGAAAATCCAAATAACGGAAATTCGTTCATAGATAGATCTGATGACTCGGGAAATATTTTGAAAGTTTCAGTGAAAAAGAATGTTCCTTTATCGAGATATTGAATTTTCAAAAAAATGGTCGTTCGTTACAAAAACCGGGTTTACTTGAAAATTCAATATCTCAGCCAAAGAATATTTTTTTCAGCTGAAACTTTTAGAATATTCTCAGAGTTATCAGACTTATCTATAGGCGAAATTTCTTTATTTGATTTTTTCGGTAAATATCTAAAGCTGGGTCGAAAATTCAGTAAAACGAGCATAACTCGACTTCAGAGGTTTATGAGCACAAACCCTTTTAGAATTTTTTTAGTCTTATCGAGACTTTCTTGTGAGTCTAATATGAGCTCAAATGGTAAGTATCAGTTCGGGTAGCTCCCTTGTGAGATTTTTTTTAAACATAGATTTGTTGTAATGTGAATTTTGAAAAGAAAACAAAAATCATTTTAGTAAATAATCTTTTTAAATGACACAATTTATTTTACAAAAAAATTATTTTAAATTAAAACAAAAAAAAATCATTACATCTTTTTCGAATTAATTGAATATTCTGTTTTAATTTTTTGATAATAACGTTTGTATTTTACAAAATTTTGTTTAACATTATGTTTCCTATAATTGAATTACCTTTCATATTGATCAATGTGAATTTGATGAGTATGATTAATATGTACAAATGATTGAAAACAATTTACGCATATAAAAATAAGTACTAGAACTATATTTAGACACTATTTTATCGACTGTATCTAATATCTCTAGGAGATACTAACACATGCTTTAGGTTGATTATCCAATTTCATTGTTGGTATAGAGTTGAAAGAAGCTGAGGTAATAAAACTTTTCAGACTATTTAGTTCTGCGAGTGAGAATGGTGTTGTTTGACCTTTTTCTTCTTGTAAAATATTCAAGAATTGATTGAGCGGATCGTCTAGATGATATTTATTGATTATAATCTAGGTTAATGGTAGTGACACTGTTGAAAAAAAAAGTACTTTTTATCTGATCAAATATGCATTTACATGAAATTGTATTTAGAACATGAAGAATATTGTAGTAAACGTCTACCGTTCTAATAGATTGATGATGTTGAAGGAATTCTTAAAATATAAGAATTCGAAATACAGATCAGTATACAAATAAACTTCTTTCAGACTATATTTACTTATTATTTTTTCTGAAACATTGATTATTAGAAACTGTATTTTCACTCAATAAAATGAAGTTTTTGATACTATCACGAGCGAGAACACAAATGCTCGGATGCAGATCATTTTGCTTTTGGAGAACATGATTTTATGATTAATCCACTTTACATACCACTGTGTGAATTAAATATGTCATTATGAATTATGACAATATACATAGAGGACTTTACCATCGTTTCCATTTTTTAATTTTGCTTCATCACACTATATAAATAAACATGCAAAACATTTCAATCTCTGCACTAAAATTAGATTCACCTACCCAGACAACGCCAAATTCGAGTGTAACCAAGCCTTGCAGCCGTAATTCAGGTGAGGCTCAAGCGGTTTCAGTCCACACGTTTGACCGCCCATGTTATGAACACAATTACGAATAATGAAACAAATTCGATTTAGGCTTCACCAGTAAATAAATATGAATTGTATTCGGAATAAAATTCACATGTATAAAAAAAAGGAAACAAACGATCATCAGTTTAAAATAAAAATATATTTGTGTATATGTACAAGAATGATTGAAGAAATTTTTACAAAAGTATAAATATATTGAACACAAAAATATTGAATATAAGTAAATAAAAAAGATACGATTCAACAAATCGAATTGAATAGTTTTTAGAACACACTTATAAAAAATACTCAATAAAATGAATCATTTAAGAGGACCCCCTCCCCCTTCCTGACTCAAGATTTTTAATTTTTAATTTTTTGTGTTTGGTATATGGATTTAGATGCTCTCTATCTAATGAGCACACTTTAAGAAGGCAAAACCATCTTTTCGTATGTGAAAAACTCGCAAAAAAAACTCAGTTTTATGCTAAAAAAGCCAAAAAATGCATCTTTCTTTGCATTTTTCTCAAAACCAGATTTTTAAGGGGAAAATTGAAGTTTTCCCCCCTTTTCTCCTAAACGATAAGACCGATTGGGCTCAAACTTTTTTATGAGTGCTTTGATCGAATTGGGGTGTGTGTTTTTTTTTCTCTTGAAAACATTGTACCTATGAAGTTTGGCAGGCTTTACGAAATTCGCACCATCTGAAAAAAAAAACTTTTTTAATGGTTTTTTGATAGTGCCTCCAGTATTTTGCTTCTCCTGAGCCTTAGGAACAATATTTTTCAAAGAAAAAAAAATATATATATACCCAGATTTGTTTCTAGTTGGTGCAGAAAAAAATTCAGCCCAAAAGAACATAGTTGAGCCGTTTGCCGGGGGGGGAGGGGACTTCAAGCCATATTTGGCTCTTGGCGTCCCAAAATCTCCCTGAAGAAAGCATTTGAGAATTCTGAGTCTATGACAACTTTTATTCTACTCATCGATACCTATCTACCCTGAAAGTTTCAAAAATATTCGCCTAACCATTCTCGAGAAACATCGGAAGGGGGAGATCCCCTTAAAACTAATTTATTGATAGCATACATTTGACTAAGGCCAAAAACGATCCCTGAATAGAATTTTTCTTTTAGCGTATTTGGATCAAAACTACTTCAATTCAAATTATAAGAAAGTCCTTTGATATACAAATTTGTAGAGTGATGTTTTGTCTACAAAATGTTTAAGTCGTTTATTTTTTTACCCACCATTACAGACAATCAAAATCCGTTCCATTTTAAAATTCGAAAAAAAGCTTATTGTAAAGTACATCTCTGTACAAAATTAAATTCTTTACAACTATAAAAATTCAAAACTAACCGAATATACCACTCGAAGAAGTTATGAGTAGCAGAAAAAAAGTCTATTTTGCTTGGTAAAAGTAACATCTTTCATTTCTATAAATATTTGCTCGCAGTTAATCAGTCGAAAGTCAGTGGAAAATTTTAAATGTATATTTATAAAGAGCATGAAATTCTCATTCTAGCTAACTAATTTTCATTCTTTTTAATGACTTATAAATGGACGAAAACTGAATAGACATATTGTAGAAAAACTTTTTTGCATACAAATTATTCTAAGATAATCAAAATTTTATGATCAAAACTAAGACTTTAGTTACATAACGTTGAAGAACAGAACTAGATCTAAGATCAACTGTGTCTATATTTATTTTTCTATTCTTAAATAAAACTTAAGAAATATTTTTGATACAAATATAATTCTTATATAAATTGCAAAGAATATCATTGATGAAATTTATTCGAACACAAAATCATATTCAGACTAAGTAATTCTTTAAATTAGCTTATTTCAAAAAACTTTCTTTTATTCATATTTGAAAACTAGAAAAAAAAAATCATGTATCAGGAAAAATCTTTCTATGCACTTTTTTTTTCGGATTATTTCCTTTTTCGTTGGACACCTTATATTTGGTCAAGTATAATACGAATATATTTATTTTTATATGACAATTGATTTTGATCATCGAATTGCACAGTACAAACAAAAAAAGAAAACAAACAAGCACAAATAAGATAAGAATATATATATATATATATTGATCATTATTAAAAACTGAATAGTATATCATATAGAAATTATATTCTATCTGTAAATTTTTTTTAAATCTGCTCTATTATACAATAAATATTATATCAGATACGTCGATAGAAATAAAGAACCATAAAAGTTGCTATCATTCCACTGAGAAAAATGCCAATTGTTGTTAAACGTGATTGAGGTACTGCATCACGTAAGATAACCAACTAAGTTTTCAAAACAAGAAAATAAAAAACAAAGAATAAAAATATGGTTAGAAAACTAAAAAACTTACCCAACCACCTTTGCGAACAATCCATGGAGCAACAATTTCTTTTACAAAACGTACAGTCCATTCAACGAGAACATGTAAAATTGATGATGGTTGATCTCTAAGTGACTATTAGAAAAAATATACAAGACAAATAAATACTTTGTTTTATTTTTCTTCTTACAATTAGATATACATACTTTCAAGATAAGTTTATATGTAAAATAAAAAAGTGTTACAATTCTTCCCCAATTATAAATACCATCACAAAAAAGTTCTTTAGCAACATCGCTGAATGCTTCATATGGACTATTGATGGGTACTTGATCGACCATACTAGTAAAAGAAAAAATTATGATCAACTTTGTTTGTTTTTTGTAGTATAAAACAAAAGGGTAGCAATAGAAGAAAGATGGGAATAAGGGTAAAAAAAGCAAGCAAAGTCTCTATTCTAGCTTACCTTTTTATCTTCTATTCTGAAAATAACTTTTATAGAAAGAATATTTCTTATGTCAATAATAAAAACTATAAACTTATTTTATACCTTTTTATTCGTTGATCAGCATCGAGTTCATCGCCAATCATTCGTAATCGATGAGCAATTTGTTGAATTTGTCGATATTGTGGAACTAGATTAAGTAATATCAAGTAAAATAAGTATTCGAAACTAATATTTAAAGAAATTCTTACGTGCAGAAAGGTTAACATCAATGATAGGTTTAACTAAACTCATATCGACTCCATCTTCTGTGGCACGTTCAATAATGAATTCTTCCAGTATATAACGAGTTTCTTCTGTTACATCTTCTACACTTTTCTTATATGGTGAATTATCATTGTAATCAGTTGCTATAATTTAGTCAATAAATTTTAATCGTAGAATTTAAAGAAAAAACATACGAATATAAGGCACAGGTGCAAAACGCATTGAATAAAGATCAGATAGATCTGATGAAACAATTTTTGTGTAGGTTTTCGAAGGCATTTTTAATTGATGGTTACAATGGTTCTACACTTGTTCAAAAATCGATCCGATTAACAATGGTGTTTGACTATACAAGTGATAAGTAACAATGTCATTGAAGATGATCCAATAGAAAGAAAGAGTAGTTTGTCTATTCTTTTTTGTGAAAGCTTTTTATTGATTGGAAATATATAAAAAAAACAAAATTCAAGACTGAATTTCTAGAAGAGAATTGACCATGTAACTCACATCATATAGATGTCACTACTTAACAATCAACAATATTCATATTTCTATATTGTTAAATTCGAGCTCATACAATATGAGTTTGTCGGATGATCAGAAGCTAAAACAGATAAAATGTGATCTTTTCAGTTCGTTGATTAATTAGGTATATGACAGAAATAACACATGAATATATTATGTTAACCGCAGCACTAATCAAGAAAAAATCGAGAATGTTGATATGCGAGTGTGGTTGCAGATGTGTTATTATAGATGTAGCTGAAAAGAAACTCACATACCATCCTCACAATACTTTTACCATTGTATTTTCAACAGTCATCAGATCTATTGAAATTTTTCAAACAAAATACGTCTCGATTAAAGATTGAATATATCATGCTTAGATGATATGCGGCTTGTTCAAACATAACACTGTTACACAGCTTTTTCTCAACTAATTTTAAGGCACTGCACGTACTCAGAAATATTTGGTTTTCATAAATATTGGTCTTTTCTCTGTATCTAATCGTTCTTCACAAGTATCAAATTCCTACATCAAAACGGAAGTTCATCAACTATACCGTATATTGAAAACTATATAAGAATGTAAAAGTTGTCCTTACCGAAAAAAGTAAAAAGTAAATAGGCTATTTTGTAGAGAATTAAATTCTTCATCAAGTAGTATGTTACTCAGAAACTTTTGAAAAAATTTCATGCTTCGGAAAATCAAAATACGATTTTAAAATATTTAAAACCCAGTTTTCGATAACAAAATCCAATTTAAAAAGAAAAAAATGTCAAATTCGTAATTAATGTAAAAGATTGCAACTAATAAAGCATTCAGATCTGTTCAACTCGGGAAAAAGTTTTTCAAAAACTTGACCAACGAAATGTCGCGTTACGTGGACACACCTTAATACCTTCGTGTGATCGACATGAATTTAATTTTCGCTGAGAGTTATCCCGTCAGTATGTTTTTCTCTCTTGCTCTCTTCTCTGAGATAATGAATGCTTAATGATAAATTTTAGCGATTAAAATCGATTAAAATTTCGAAATCCTATGGGCTTAATCGAAAACAATAACCTGATTATTCTACACCAAAATCTAAGCTATAATCCATTACGAAAGATATCTTAGGTCCAGATTCGAGTATTTTTAGGACTGATTCGCCCAGGGAACTGTTCCAACAAAGCTGTTTGTTGTTCCAAGTAGAACTTGATGAGCTGCATCGAATGATGAAAACTGCTTCTCGATACAGATTATA